TTTGATGTGGAAATCTGAAAAATATCAGACATAAATCAGGGTGGTTACATAAAATATTCTATAAAAATTCACTATTGTGGTTCTTGTTATAAAGCTTGTAACACTGAATTATCTTAAAAAGAATTATCTTAAAAAAAATAAAGTACTATCTTAAAAAAATAAAGGTTTGATTCACTTAAAGGAATACCCTTGAAGGCAAGGGTATCTGTAATAAAGTCTGGTACACTATTACCTGTCCATGGGGCCCATGCTTGAGGCTCAGCGACTGTTCTGCTTACTTGTTAGTATCTGGATGTGACTAAATAACGGTCTACAGATTGAGAATATAGTAAATATCAATTCTAGGAGGATTACTGGTGGCAAATTCTGTTTTCAGGTTTATTGACAACACCCCAATGGAGCTTTATAGGCTCCGTTCATTCAATCAATCAATATTTACGGAGTACCTATTATGTGTCAGATGCTATACGGATGCTGGGAATATAGCAGTGGGAAACACTCACTGAGTCCCACTGCTCACGGAGTGTACATTCTAGAGACAGAATACAGCAGCAGTGGACAGTGGTATGGAGGGGAAAAAAAGTAGGGTTACAAATTATAAAATGATGGAAGAGAAACAGCAACTATTTAGATCACTGGGGGCCCCTCCAGTGAGATATTATTTGAAGAAAGATCAGGATGCTGAATATGATTGGATTTTATGGGAAAAAATGATATTTTACTCTGTTAACAGTTAATACTATTTGCTCATCTATTGTGTCCTTTGAGTATTTCATAACCCACATTCCTTCTCTGGTTACAGTTGTATGACAAGGGTTTGGGGTAAGGAAAGTGGGGGACTTTTTAGGTCTTTCTGATGAGTTTTTTGTTTTTTATTATTATGGTTTTAATTTCAATACAAGCCCAGGACATGAGACCTTAAATTATAAGCATAAACATTATGGTAAAAGGGGTTACTGAGCACAGAAGACAAAACTTAGAACTCTGAACTTAGATTTAGGTTGAAATTTGGATCCTGTATCCACAAGTTTGCTATCTGTATGGCCCTAGGCAAGTCACTTATTCATTCATTCATTCATTCATTCATTCATTATTTATTTATTGATTTAGAGACAGAGAGAGAGAGTGCAAGTGCATGTGCACGAGCTGGGGAGGGGCAGAAAGAGAAGAAGAGAGAGAATCCCAAGCAGGCTCTATGCTGTCAGTGAGGAGCTCAATGTGGGACTCGATTTCAGGAACTGTGAGAGCATGACCTTAGCCGAAATCAAGAGACGGATGCTGAACCGACTGAGCCACCCAGGTGCCCCACTTATCCTTTTATAATTCCGTTTTCATCTATACAGAGGCAAGATCATTCTATCTTGCATAATTTAGAGTAATTAAATAAAAAACCTGATAAACACTAGGTACTCATACAATCGCTAACTATAATTTTTACCATATATCCAAAAGCACTGTGCACAGTGTCTGATTCAATGTAGGCGCCTGCCTGTTGGTTTCCTTCCTATTTATGTGCATTATCAGTTTCTCTGCAATTTTTCATTTGTACAGATAAACAAGGGTTGATGGTATGTGAGTTTTTGCTTGATAGAATTTCATAGGACTCATTTCATCAGTGCATGATTAGCTTCAAAGCTTCGACTCTAACCCAGTTTTTGAGATAACTGGGAAATGAAACTAAGTGGAGGGAACAAATGTAGCATTGTAAGAGAAGCAAAAGTCAGCTTGAGGTTGTCTGATGTTCTTAAACTAACATCATCTTTCATCTCCTATGCCCTTCTTCCCAGATAATAAGAGCTGTGCGCTAAAAGTGCTGAGATAAACTAATGGGGAACAGGATACTACAAAAGACATTTGAAAGAGCCCATGTAATTTACTGCATGTCTGGTTTGTTTTACTTTCCAAAGCCTTCCTGTTGCTCAAGGAAATTTGTCTCCTCTGGCAACCTTCGGCCCTCTTTTGGCCGGGAGTTCTAAAAAAGCATTTGAGGGCAGGTAAACAGATGCAAAGCTCTCTGAGTGAGGAGTAAGGACAGGCCTTGCTTCCTGTGTCACCTCTGAGGCAAAAAGAAAGTATCTTTTAGTATTTGTTTTAGAGAATTATCTCCAATGTAGGTAACCAAGATTCTGCCGGTGCATTCAGATATACAAAACTCCCAACATGTTCTGAAGGTAATTTACATGAGTGAACCACTAAAAGCCTCCTACTCAATGAACTGTACCCCTGGGGAAAAGCTATGCAGGCCCGGATCAGTGTGGGAACAACATAAGGGTGTTCTCTGTGCCAAAAAGGGGATTGGGCTAGATGGAAAATCCCCAAAAAGGACCATCTGGCAGCATAAATTATCCATTTAAAATGGCTGGTGTGAGTTAATGACACCAAAGTCACCACGAACATGTACAACATCCTTTGGTTGAGTTTTAATGTCCCCTCAGGCCCTGTTTCAATTATGACTTTCTATGCTGAATATGGCCACATATAAACGTATCCACTGTCCTCCCCCCCGCCCCACTCCCAACACATATACCATGAAACTGCATTTTTCTGTAATGAAACAGGGATAGAGAATGGAGCACCAATCCAAGAATATAGTATAATTGTGGGGGATTTCTCTATTATGCTACATATATAGTATCATTACCCCAAAATAATCCAGCCGTTAAACTTCCATTATTTAATAACTGTGAAGGATACAGGCATTCAGATGTTAAAATTTATGATCATTTAAATCATAAGGTCCAAACAGGAATAGAATTACTCTGAAAACGAGAGTCACTAGGTCAAAGTACCCTATATTTAACCTACCCTCTCTGCCCCCAATAGGCTCCCCAAAAATCTACTTAAGGACCCAGAGAGCAGTCTCATGGTGGGGGAGCTTCATGTATATCAACACAGCAAAGCAGCTTCAATATGTATAAAACTGCATTAGTACAACACTCGAACACAATGTACCAAACCTATCTATTTTGATTCTGATTTTCACTGAAGCAGGTGAACTGGATAGGACTCTAATTAGCCTTTTAAAAAGGGTTCAAAGAAGTTGTACATCTTTTAATTTTTTAATAGCACATAAACTTTTCATTGGCACTATCCTGAGGTCTTGCTGATGATGCCATTAGTGGCAATGAGCAGTCAGCAGTCAGCATTTTCATTTAGGCCTGGGTTTTTTTTTTTTTCTTTTTTTTTTTTTTTGAGAGAGAGAGCATGTGTGAGCCAGGGAGAGGGGCAGAGGGAGGAAGAATCTTAAGCAGGCTCCGTGCTTGGGGCAGAGCCCAACGTGGGGCTCAATCCCACATCCCCAGGATCATGACCTAAGCCAAAATCAAGAGTCAGATGCTCAACAGACTGAGATACCCCAGTGCCCAGCCTGGGCTTATTTCTTAGCCACTTTCAGTGAACTGGCATGGGCTAAGTGTGGCACGAAGCTGCACCTTGACAGACGGTCCACCACACCCTGAGTGCTGTGTTGGTAATAATTAGAAACAATGAGAAAAAGGAGACTAATGTCCCCATCTCCTTACTTGCCATATCACCATGTAATGATCTCCTTAATCAGGTTTCCAACCCCCAACCATGAATTCCTTGAAAGCAAAAGCCACAGCCTTCCCATTCATCCTGGAGTTCCCAGAATCAGGCGGTGTCTCATCCACAGAAAGCTCCCTATGAGGATGGCTGAATAAGTGAGTGAGCCTGCTAGGTAGAAGCAAGGCCAAGTGAAATTTCTGCCTTTTAGTAAGGGGAGTGAGATAAAGGACTCGTCCAATGGGGCCCGAGGTCTTGTTCGGTCTTGTTCTGTTTTCGATTATCATACAATAAAACTGCAGGGGTGGGGGATGGAAGGTGTACGTTTCTGTGAACATAAACACACGTATAGATGGATTCCTGAACCCACCACCACAATCAGGATACAGGGCAGTTCCATCAACCCCCAAATCTCCCTCATGCTATTGCCTCTGAGGACTGCTTTTTAACATGTCAGGGAGGAGAGACAGAAGTTAAGATCTGAAGACCAAAGGATGGGCTCAGAAATCTCCTTGGTGCCTGTCTGCTCTTGCAAGGAATCACTCTGAGGCATAGGTGGGGGAGAACGATCAGAAAGCATTTTGTTTTAAACTTACTCTGTGCTATGTATAATTCTTAGATGGGTCATACATGTTACCTTATTTAATTCTCAAGAGCACTGAAACCACTATTATTATTGACAAAATAAAGAAATGGGAACATTTATGCTCAGAGAGGTTAGGTCATTTGCCCAGAATCCCACAGCCAGCAGGAGCTAGAGCCAGGATTACATTCTGTCTATTCCAAAGCCCACCCTCTAACCTCTTGATCCATTTGACTTTGCAGATTGAGGAAGGCACTGGAGAAGATTCTCCCTTGTTCATGTGGAGGTTAGACATTGATTAAGGTTTCAAAAGGTTCCTGCTATCCAAACTATTCCTCTCAAGACTCCAGAGCCAAGACTAGACTATCCCAGGAGGTCAGAATAGCAGTCATCATTTGCTTATTTCACTAGAGATGGATATAAAGATAGTTGTTCCATTTAAATAGAAAAACAATCATGATGATAGCCAAAATTAGGAAAAAAATATTTAAACATCTCCTCCTTTTACACAAATCTAAGTATAAACTGTGGCACAGGGAGCCCAGTCTCCTAGTCCAGTTGAAAAAGTTGACAGGTTTTTATTTAAGATTGTTCCAAGACAATCCAAAAAGCCAATCCCCAAAGGCTCTTGGCATAAAGACAAAAGCAAAGGCAAATGCATATGGGATTGTAGTGCAGGTAAAAACATGGAAGCGTCAAAAACCACACACTGTTCTTCCACCCTTTCAATTCAGTTGAATTGCTGCTTTGCATGGCCGCCCTTTCAAGAAAGTAGCAGCCAGAGACAAACAAGTGTTCGCGTTCAGCACGTCGACTGCTTCGAGCCTGCTTCCTTCACTGTACGCGGCATGGCCGCCATGTGCATTGTAGGCCTGAGCGCGCCCGCCCCGCTTACCTGGCTCCACTTCATGCCATCCGCTCGACTGACTGCCGCTTCCCGGGGAGCGCCCTTGGCCTGTGTAAAATGGCTCTTCACCAGGACTGTCCATTTCATCCTCCACGGACTTGAGGCGCTTTGTGGAGCTGAAATAATAAACGGGTACATGTTTAAAAGCCTTCCAAACCACCTCTCTTGGACACTGCATCTCTGGCTGAAAGAAAGCCAAAGGAGGAAGCAATTGGGCAACTCGGTGGAGTTCTAGGACTCTCTCTAGGCTCAGGTTCAGGTTAGTGAGTCACTGGAGGTGGAACAAAGTCGTGGGTCTGTGTTGTTCCAAGTGTCTGGGTTTGATTTTTATTGTCCCTCAAGATGCTGCCACTGCCACATCCTGTTCCTTTCTCCTTTGAGGAACTGGTGGCTGGCTCCTGCTCTTGTCTCCACAGGGAAGTGTCCGTAGGAAGACCACATTTCGTGTCTCCTCAGGCAGCAGCTGGCCCCTAGCCATCAGCAATGTCCCTAGACCTCTGGCACCCCAGAAAGGGTAAAAATCAGGGTTGACAGCTCTTTGAGAAAAGCTTGGATTGCTTTTGGTTTTTTTTTTTTTCCCTGTGTTTTCTCATCTTCCACTTGGATCTGTTCATTCAAAAAATATTTGCTGTGCAGCTACAACAGTCCAGATTCTGATGTAGATGCTAGAGATAATACAGTGAACAAGACAGATTAAAAAAAAAAAAATAGGGGCAAGGAGTGCATTTCCCTCTGAGAATCGGGGACATGGAAAAAAGAGCAGCCCTATCCTTTTTATGCCCTTCCTCTTTTTGTGCCTCTACAGAGGTTCCCAAAATGAAGTTCTGGATTTGTTATTTTTGTAAAGGCATGGTTGGGAAATTTCCAGAATGTATCTCATTTCTTTCAGTTGAAGGACTGAATTTTTCTCCCAAGTTGAGGCTTCAGGAGTAAAAAGACAGTGAAATGCCATGTTGCTAATATGTTCTAATTGTCTTAATTGATTATGTCACTAACATACTAGCAGAATGAATAGATTTCATACCTAGTGGGAGTGCCTACTGGGAAACCTCTTCCTCATGTGTCAGGGTACAGAATTTTTAATATGTTTTCATTTATCAAACACATGCTGTGTCCTTTCTATGTACTAGGGGCTGTGCTAAATGCTGGGATATAGAGATGCATCAGACATGGCCCCTGTCTCATAGACGTAAATAAAATTGTGCAAAAGAGAAATACAGGTACTATCGTGCAACTGCATATATGACACAGTGGGTTCATCGATGAAAGAAGCAAACAATGATATGCCTGGAAGGTTGGGAAAAGCTTCCTGAAGGAGATAGTTCCTGAGCTGTAAGACTGAGTGTCAAGGAGACAGGGTTTAAGGAAGGAAAGGGCACAGAGAGGCTGCTTTTCAGCTCATGCACCACTCAGGCAGCCATTATTATTTCAAAATATTGAAATACTTCTATATCAATTGGCAAAGCGCCACTGTCTCAAGCCCTGTAAGTCTCCCCACCCTTGCCACCCCGATATTTGCCCCAGGACACCCTCATGATCCAAAAACTAAAGGGCTAATGTCTCTGGTGCATCTGGGGCATTCCAGGACTTAGCGTGAGCATTGTGGCAGAGCGACCACTGTTCTAATCGGTATGCTCACGTCACACAGGTTATCGGACATTCTGAACGTCACCCCCAGGAGGGAGGTGTGTATCAGGCAGAAGCCACATCATGAGGGAGGCGTGACACACACAGAGAACTGCCAGGTGTTTGGCCTGGCTGAAGTCGGGGGAGGGCCATCGTGAAAGAAGTGGGGTGGAGGTTACAGAAGAAATTACGTATCTGGATTTTGTCCTACAAGCAATGGAGACTCCCTGAAAGAGTCTCAACAGGGAGTGACATTAGAGTCGATTTCAGAAAGGTCACTCTGGTCATTTTGCAGATGATGGCTTTGGAAAAGCAAAGGAAAAAGGAGACAGAACCTACAGGCAGGGAGGTGTTTAAGAGGCTATTGCAGCAATCTGAATAAAAAAATGTGGAGGACCCAATTTAAGGCAAGAAATTCTAACGATTAAAGTTGGTATTCCAGTATTCTTTGCCTTTAAGTTCTGTCCTCATTAAAGCCAAATCACAGGAAGGCAACACATCTGTAGCATGCTAGCTTAGTACCCAAAGGAAAAACCTTTCCTAACTCATTTTATGTCCTTTGCTGGGCTTTCCTTGAAGTTCAATGAAAAATAGCCACTGGAACAACTTTTCTATATTTTATGTGAAACTACATCTAAGAGAAAAAATTTTTTAAAAATATTTTTAATGTTTATTTTTTGAGAGGGAGAGAGAGACAGAGAGAGAGAGAGAGACAGAGAGAGAAAATATGAGTGGGGGAGGGGCAGAAAGAGAGGGAGGCACAGAATCTGAAGCAGGCTCTAGGCTCTGAGTTGTCAGCACAGAGCCCGATGCGGGGCTTGAACTCATAAACCAGGAGGTCATGACCTGAGCTGAAGTCAGATGCTTAACCAACTGAGCCACTCAGGTGCCCCTAGACATTTTTGATAGAAGGAAGTGCACATAAAAAAAAATATTCCAAATACATAAGCCAGAAAAAAAATATGGACACTTTGAATTAATTTCTTTTGTTTCCTTTTATCAGAAATGCACATTATATAACATAGTGCTTTCCCTTCTTGCCTTGGCAACCAGGAATCTCAGGATTAAACTCTTGGTTGAGGTTTCTGATCTAACAATCTCTCCAATCTTTTCATATGGTCTCTGGCCTCTCTTTCTATATTTAACAGTACTTGTGCTGTATTTAAAACTTGAAAGCCACTTGAAACCATTCTGGAAGCTGGTAGAATAGAAGTTAAAAAACAAAATACATATTTCCCTGATGTTTCTTGGTTAATAAAAGGCAAGACCTTTATGTTCTGATGTGACTGTGAGATCTGCAGGGAAAGGGCCTTCTTTCTTTTCTTCTTTTTTAAAATGTCTACTGCCTGTGTTTGGCTAATAGCAGATGTTCAAAAAACTGCTGAATTGGGCCGTTGACTTAGAAACAGCCACATGAGTACTTGTGACAAGCATTTGCCAAGTGTCATGATTCAATGAGATCTGACGCAAAAGGCCAACTCCACTCACTGCCCATCATTCTTCCGTTATTAGTATTTTTCTGAGTTTCTAAAGCTTTTGATTTCCTTGATGTCCTTTAATAAAAAGCAAATTCCCTGTGCAGGTATTAAATCCTAAAGGTGGAAGTCTGGACTTATTAGCTCTCACCTTAGCGTGAAAGCAAGGACTTTTCAGAGGTTTGATACAGGACAAATGTCTGCAGGGCAGAGGAACAGAGTGGAGGAGAGAAAAAGATCCAGGAGTGAAGAAAGTCAGCAGTGCCAAGATGGACAAGTGGAAGGCTTCGAAGACAAAGTTTACTGACTTCACAACCTTGACAGTTAGTTTATCTTGATGAAGTTCTTTGGGAGAAAAAAGTATATTTTATCCCAATTTTTACACAACCCCTTCTATGATTTTGGAGATGTTTACCATGAAGAGGTACAGAGCTACAGTTAATGCCTATCAATCTCCTTTATTATTTGTTTTAATGCAGAAATGCATCAGTCATTGATTCTGGTTTCTTGCTCTTGACTTTTGAATACACTGATTCTATTCTCCCAGAAACATTTGAGGAAAATAAGAAAGTACCAGTAAGATCTCTACATAAGAGGGAAGAGAAGTACTCTTTTGAGGAGTGATGCACCATCTCTTTCTGTGTGTGTAATTTGTTGTGTTCCTAGAAAATCCACCTAGAAATTAAGGTAAAACTATTACCTTCATTCCAAATGTTTGTTTAATTCCTACTATATGCAAAGCATAGAAGCCTTACCTTGTACCCACAAAACTGCAAAATGCCTCCTTCCTGCACGTTCATAGTACCCTGAACTGAAATTTTTCATTTATTTGTCAGTCTCTACCATTAGATACGGAAGCTCCTATTACTTGACTTTATATCCACAGTGCCTAGGACAATACCCTTGTTACTTAATAAATGTTGCCTAATTGGGGTGCCTGGGTGGCTCAGTCGGTTGAGAGTCCGACTTCGGCTCAGGTCATGATCTCGCGGTTTGTGAGTTCCAGCCCCGCGTCGGGCTCTGTGCTGACAGCTCAGAACCTGGAGCCTGTTTCAGATTCTGTGTCTCCCTCTCTTTCTGCCCCTCCTCACTCATGCTCTGTCTCTCCCTCTGTCAAAAACAAATAAACACAATATTTTTTTAAATAAAAAAATAAATAAATGTTGCCGAATTACACACCGTCCTCTATGGGATTTAACAGTCTGGATGGGGAGGCAGGACCTGTACAGATCTCAAAAGATGGTAATAATAATTCAAGGTAGCAAACACTAAGTATCCAGGAAAAATAGGGATAGTAGATATTCCTTTTTGGGGGGATTTATGTTCTATCGTTCCTTACTGAAAGAGTGAGCCCCATTCCTCAGGGGATCCAATGGGAAAATATCATGTTTTTAATTAATTAATTATTTTGAGAGAGAGAGAGGGACAGAGAGAGAGAGAGAGAGCGCACAAGTGAGGGAGATGGGCAGACGGGAGAGAAAGAGAGAAACTTTAAGGTTCCAAGCTCACTGCAGAGGCCAATATGGGATCCCATGACCCTGGGATCATGACCTGAGCCAAAATCAACAGTTAGGTGCTCAACTGACTGAGCCACACAGGCGGCCCTAGAATACCGTGTTTTTAAAGTTCCAGCACACCTGAATTTGAATATAGACTCTGCCATTTACTAGATCTGTGACCTTGGGCAAGTTACTTAACTTCTCTGGGTTGTGGGTTGATCCAGTCAGTGTTAAATGGCAACACTGTCTATATTGTAAAAGTATTGTGAATATTAAATCATATCAGGTATGTAAAGCATCTAATATCATGTCTGCTACAGAGCAAGTGACCAATTAATATTGGCACAGCATGAACAAATATTGATTGGTGGATGAACTTTTCTATATGTAAATCTGGGGTATTCTTCTGGGCACATTTTCTAACCTGTACACAGATAATTCTGCTGAGTCTATATATTTAGAGAATAATTTTTTTTAAAAAAATTATCCTAGGAGAGCCTAATGAGAGTAAAACAAACATATTACCAGGTTATTAACTACTGCTGCTGTTTATAATTAGCTCCTTATCAGGGTTAGTTATTTGCAGAATATGAGAATGACAGTAGCCTTTTAAATGACATTAAAAACCAGGTTTCCACTCAGAGAATCACAACAAAAGGCAATCAAACAGCTGGAGAAGTCCAAAGGATGGGGGTGAGAAGCACTGTTTGGGACGTCCATGGTACATGCGTAGCACACATATGAAAAACAAACAGCCCATCAACTTTTAAATTAATCACTGCCACAAGTATTTGCAAAGCTTTTTCATGTTGACTGAGTGCCGTTACACACAATGTCCCTTCCATCAGCAAACATTCAAAATCCTCAAAATGTATTAACACCCGAATGCATTCACAATCTCATTCTTTCATTATAAATGTACTTTGGATTTCAAACTTTTTTTCCCCCCTGAGGATCTGATACTACAGTGAACTAAGGGGAACATTTAAACGACATGAAAGATGAGGGGAGGATTTGGTGGTTGTATTTAGGGAATAACTGTTTCTTTAGCTGTCTTCGAGGTATTAGTAACGACTAAGCTGATTCTTTTTCTTTTTTCCCTTTCTTTCCTTCTTTCTTTTGCTTGCTTTCTTTCTTTCTTTCTTTCTTTCTCTCTCTCTCTCTCTCTTAAAGTAATGCTGGTTAAAATATATAAAGTCAAGATAAGAAGGAATCTCTACCAAGGAAAATTTCTATAATTTGGCCATTGTTTTAAATTATAAAATTCTGGGGCTTGCTTTAAAGAAGAATATACCTTTGTGAAACATTTTTTTTTTTTTCTGCAAAGTACACAAACATTAAAGATCATTCTACACCATTCTTTTCTTTGTTGTCACAGTCCAGTGCTAAAGCCAATTTGTAAAAGAATACTGTGGGTTTAATGCCTAATCCCTTTCCTTCTGGTACCGGTTATCCAGAGACAACAGGGTCTTGCAAAATGCTTCGTTTTGATTTGGGCTTTGTGACCTCGAGGGGATCAAGAACCCTGGAATCATTATCTGGTTGTGCTCTTCCAGTTTTACTTCTTTTAAAGGTCCCCTGGTGCAAGAGAATTTATAATCCAGCACCCCCACCCCTCCCTGTGCCATAGGACTGCATTCATTTTTACAACCTCACACCTAGATAGCAATGTCACAGGCAACTCCAGTAGCCTGGATTTTGAGGCCTTTGGGGGAAAAGGGAAGGGACTGAGATGTAATATCTGCTGTGGGCATGGGGACTGGAACTGGTGTCACCAGTGTCAACATTTTGTCAAACAAGCCAAAACAGGTGCCCTTTCCCCTGGTCAAGAGCTGTCCTTAATCTCCTGAGAACATGCTGTGTTCATCATGCATCTTTCTCTATGCTTTGCTCGTGTCTTTACCCCACCCAGACCCCATTCCTTTTCCTTCCCATCTTGCCAACCCTAACCAACATTTATCACTGAACTCAAGTCTGTCTTTTTGAATAAAGCCTTAACTATTTTTAGCCTATGCCACACTGTGTGTGTGTGTGTGTGTGTGTGTGTGTGTGTGTGTGTGTGTGTGTATAGATAGATGTTTGTTTGTTTGTTTGTTTGTTTCTGCTGTATGTGCATTTGCTTTCTCTTCCCAACGAGACTGAAAGTCTGATGGGGCTGAACACACTTCTCTAGTATCTTCTACCAGCAAACACACATTGCAAGTGCCTCTAGGCTCAAAATCAAGGTGTGTAACTAGGGAGAGCCACCAATCAAATTACCTGGTAGAGGACGTGCTGGGTAAAGACCTCCTCATCGCTCCTGGACTCATGCTGTAGTATGAAGAACTTTCCAAATCTGAGAGAGAAAAATTTGGGCCAGTTCCTGCAGCTATTGGTGCTAGGAAAAAAAAAAAAAAAAAGTTATGTTCTGTGAATAAATGATCAATGAGGACACATATCATTGTTGCATTTAACACATTTTATTTCTGAATTTCTTTGATAAGCTTATCCAAAATCATCAGTAATGAACTCTGACCTCTAAATATTGTTGACAACAAAAATCACCTATAACAGAAGGACTCTGTTTTATATTTTACCTTTTATCTTTTCTCTTTTTGTAATAATGGCAAACTGTCACCAAGACTGCAACATTCCTGGATGCTTTTAACAAAAACGCCTCCATGTTTTGCTTTGAAACTTTTCTTGGATGACCAGCAAGAACATTCTCTGGACTTTCCTAATTTTGGCTGATCTTGATAGCTTTCACTCATCAGCATTTTGGAATTAGTCCAGAACCACAAACTCAACTTTCTGGGTTTCCCATTGTCAATTTCCTGTGATGAAAAATGTGTGATTTCTCCTTACTCTGAATTGCCATGGCACCTACATATGCCATTACTTTAGTTGTCCTACCTTCTCCCTGGAGGCAGTGTCCTCTAACCATGGTTCCTGGGCTGCAGTTCTTAATAAAGTTTTGCTGGAAGATGGTCACACCCATTTATTTACATATTGTCTCTGTTTCTGCACTATGATAGCAGAGACAAGCAGCCACAACAGACACCATATGGCTCACAAACCAGAAAATATTTATGTAGAAGTTGCTGAGGTCTGATTTAAGGGATTGGTAAGGATAATTTTGACTATATGTGATTTTCAGAGCTGATCCTTAGGTGAGATGTGATTCTCTGTATTTTTTATGGTCTGGAGCCTCCAGACCACCTTGTTTACAGTAGCAGCTTAAATAAATATTTTTGAATGAATAAATAACATCTATCAATCTTCTAAAACAACTCTGTGCACAGCTAGTGGTACAACTATATTAGTACAAATATTCTCTTCTTTTGAAAGATTATGCAAAAGTGGGAGACACAGATTCATGTATTACTGTACTAAGACATTGGTTTGAGAGTTAAGCCCAGGTAAGTGGATATATAAATAAATTAAACAGAGGCTAATATCCATAAGAAGAAGGGATAATTAGAAATATCATGAACCAAGGACTTTCATTGCCAAGAATGGTGCAGGGTAAGGAAGGCGCATAGATGAAAGACATATCCCCACCCTGAAACAACTCTAGAGGGAAGGCTGGCGTGTTAATTTCAATACAGTGTGATAAGTCCTTTGCTCGAGTTATTCCTAAATTTATATGGCCACACAGAAGTGGGTATCCAACCCAGCTGGGGAATAAGAAGTTCCAGGGGCAAAAAAGGCCTCAGAAAACATGATGCCTGGGAAGATGTTAAAAGGATAAGTGGGGCTCACCCAACTGAGAGGAATAGAGGCATGCTAGGTAGGGGGAACAGCATTTATAAAGGTAAGAGAACATAAAATGAATACCGGTTTTCTGATAACTTGGTGTGATAAAGTTTGTAATACATGGGAAAAAAGAGGGGAAGGTTAAGGTCAGTTTAAGAAGGCCCTGGTAGGGTTCTTTAAGGACAGTGGATGTGAGTCCAGCACATTCCCTAGTTTATAAGCTATCAAAGCGCTTTATCACACTCTACTAATTGGGGGCCATTGGGGTTATATTGCCAGCATCTAATATAATCCCTGACACCACGAGGCAGTCAGTAAGCATTGGTCAACTGGAACTGGTTGCTAGTTAAAGGAGAACCAGCAGAATGTGAGAATGCATCATCAGACTTGCCTTTATAACCTAGAAACATCATCCTGTGGTGAGGGTAGGCATGGGGGACAGGGCGGCAGTTGAAGAATATAATCAGTAAAACCATAGAGGCCAGCGGAGTCATTTAAAAACGACAAGGTGGGGATGGGTCTAAACTCAAGGGATGAGGAGGAGGAGCCTAGTATAAGTTATTTAGGAATTAGAATCAGGAAAATGTGTTAACTTCTTCAGTGTAGTAATAACAGAAAAGGGGGAATATGGGACAGTTCCCAGGATTACTACTTGGGCAACTGGGTGAAATGTAGCACCATAAGAGAACTATGTAATCAAGGAAAGGGGGGAAGGGATACAATAATATCTAAGAATAAACACTGAGTTGTTGGGTTAATAGCAATGGCTAGACCTTAATCACAACTATATTAAAACAGTCACTGCTAAGAAATAGAAAGCTCTAAAATTCACATATACTTTTCTGAAATTCAAACATATCTCTTAATGACAGGCTGTAATGGAGGAAAGGCCTTTAGTTCAAAGACGAATGGTTAGACTTGACAATAAGTGTAAACAGAGTTCCAATGAATAATTTTGCTAGCCATTCCCCAATTTGCCTTTATACTAAATTTATCTGCATAGTTTCCCCTTTTATTCCATAATATTTTATGTATGAAATAAGCTCTGGGGGTGGGGAGGAGACTACTCAAATACATCACCGCTCACCTCTCTTAGCAGCCTGACATATAACAGGTACTTATTAATGTTTGTGCCTCCGTGGAGCTTAAAGATCCACACGTCTCATTAACTGAAGAAGAGAGATGCAGCTGATCAGTGTCGAGGGTATGGATTTAGATTTTTCTTTCAAAGCCTTGGGATGGGGCTCAGGCATCCGCCGAATGCAGCAGGTGCATCATGCCCGAGCACCGGCCACAGTGCGCAAGCCTCACTCCCAGTCTCGGAAGGAAAGATAAAGCAAGATGTGAGTGAGAGGCCTGGCTGGACAGAGAAGTCTGGGGCCCTCTGCCCAGCGGCACTTACACTTAACATTCTATTTACCACATTCTACTCTGGAAAAAGGTCCTCTGCCTAGATTATCTTTTCAAAATGTCAAGGGAGCCAGAATAGGCGAAGAATGGAAGATACAGTGTAAATATAGTGCGCACACCTCTCAGAGAGACTAAAAAAAAAAAAAATAACGAACCCACAGAAATGTTCCTTCGCTTGCCCATATATTGACTTCCTGTTAAAGCACTTAGCACAGTGTGTGTGATCTAGCAAACAGCATCAGGTGGACTGGCAGCGTTATGATGCTTCTCGAAGTGTCTACTGCAGTTATGGTGTGTAACTTCAGGGCCTGGCAAACTGGCTATGAGCGCCTGAAAAGTTTTATGACATCATTAGATTTCTGAAATGAGAATGGGTTTCACAACCTGGGTTACATCATCCTAATAAAGCACCAACCCAAACTCTGCGTTCTTCAGAACAGTCAGGTGAGGAAACATCCCCCGGGAGTGTCTGGGTTCGTATGTCTCACATGAAGGTCAGCCGATGGGAATGCGATCAGATTCAGTGGTACGGTGACAGTTAAAGAGAAAGCCTCAGACCTGTGGGTAGGGGTTACCATTAAGTGTCCCTGCAGTGAGTTGGGTATTCTCAGTACCTCTCAACTGGAGAATAGGAAGAGCCTTAGAGAGGTAACTAGGAGAGGTGGGCTTTCAGCCGGCTTTCCTGAGTACCTAGGGACCATTTTTCTTATACCTCACTCAATCCACAAATCAACCTTTTTTAGAGGACAGTACCTTTTCTACGAGAGAAAAACTAAGCCCTGAAATGAGGTTAACTTGCTTGCCATGGATCACAGAGAGGCAAGAAAGAGGGAGGTCCAGGATTAAAATTCTAGAATGTCTCACTGCAACACCCATTGCGTTTCCTATCATACTACCCTGCCACTCATTTACAATATTTGCCTTAAACTTGAGATGATACAGAGGTATACAGTGTCTCTGTCTCACAAGGTTTACAACAGAGCGGAATGATGAAATAACACTTGAACATCAAATTCAAGGCTGAATGTGATAACTCTCATAGGAGAAATGCAAAGGATGTGTTAGGAAAATTCAAAGGCATGATGGATCATATTGGCTCGCGGGATCAAAAAAAGATTCGATTTCAAGAAGGGTTGGACACTTACACTTAGCCTTCAAGGATGGCAGGATTTGAAGAGGCAGAGAAGAGAGTTTCTAGGCAAATGACAGAGTATGTGCGTAAGTTTGGAGGCAGGAAGTACAGTTAGTGACCTGGGGGATCCACGACTGTTTGTGAGTAGGGAAATGATCATTGTTGAATTGAGAAACATTATACAGAATACACAAAAGGGGACTAAGGTGGGGAAATCTGTTGGAAAGTTGATGCAGGAGTTGTGGCAAGACGGAATGGAGGCCTAAACCATGTTGCCAAGAAAGAAAATAGAATTTTCACAATGGATGTTTGTCACCTTGGTAAACAGGTACAAAAGATCAGTGTCCAGTTGTGCACGGTGAAAGGGCATACACAAGCATATGGATCATACCATTCTAACAAATATAAAATATCAATAAGATGTATGTAACACAATGCACTTCTTAGCTAATAATAGGAATAAGTCCTTTTTGCAAATTGGGGAACTAAAAGTTGTCAAGGGTTAAATGACTTGAACAATGTCTGCCTAGGATGTCATGCTGGGCTTCTGAAGCCAAAGACTAACAGCCTGCTGATATGTCACAGAGATTATGTAGCCACTGCCAATCAAGGGTGGGGATGATAAGGAAGGACTGGACCAACCAAAACACTTTCTGTCTGTTCCATATAGTGTGAAACCTGATTTTGTTCCACTTGTACTCGACCCTAGGCTCTATCATTCTTAAATGATCTCATACATGACATTTTTTTCCCCAGCCAGATTGAGTGCATTTTGAGGACCAGACATCCTAGGCCATAGAAAAAGTGCTGGTCTCGGCCTGGGTGAGACTGTCTAGAGTTTCAGCCTTGCCAACAACCACCCGTGTAGCTGAAGTCATTTAAACTTTTGGACCTCACAACTCTCATAATAATTATGTTAGAAATGCAAACTCACCAGCACTGCCATGGCCATAACCAGCACAGTAACAAAGCCTAATGTTTATTAAGCATCGTTTACGGGCCAGATGCCGGTCTGAGCCCTTTAAGCACATCATCTCATTTAAACTCACAGCGCTCCTGGGAAAGAACTGAAGCACAAAGAGGTGAAGTAACGTTCCCTG